CGTTTATAAACGTAATGAAATTATTGAGTCTATATATGGGACCGGAAATAAATGTTTATTTGTTCGACAATACCGTTCTCTCGAAATTGATCAATTTCAATCCACCGTTCGCATTTCACTAATCGTTACGTAATTTTATTATCGACCGTCAACGTTCTTTGCGTACAAGTTTCCCTTTGAAACGTAGCACCGCTCCAGGTTCACGATGTCCTTTCGCGGCATTTCCCACCCTCCCCGATCGGCTCTCTAGACCATAACGCGGTCGAAATTATATATATGCCGAGGGCGACGGCGACGCCCAAGGCCGTCCCGGCGAACGTGACGGTTCAACTAAGTGGAGGGCAGGCTTCTCGAGGTCCTTTTCCACCCTCCTTATTTGCACGAAACGTTGAAAGAGAAACGTGCCGGAACTAGGGCTAAGTGACAGCGGCTCGAAACGTTGTCTGAAAATATTTGAGAACACACAAAGTGTGGAGATTCCGCTTTGAGAATCAATGTATGAGGTGTGGTCAACGTAAGGTCAGCGTGCAATATAAATTAAGGATCCAGTTTCAAGATTTTTCTTATGATTTTATCAGAAAGAATACACACAGTCTCGGAAAAAAAAAAACAAGAAAAATATCCTGAAAAATCTCAACAACGTTCGCGAATCGCACGAATCGCGCTACACATCCAAAAGCAAGATTCTCATAGAATTGTGATACACTTCGGGAATTGACAATAAGTCTTAAAAATTAGTGACCCGACTGGAGAAGAACATTTTCTCGTCTACTACCGTCGTCTATTGCATCTCTCGTCTTTCCTGCGCATTATCTTGTTACACAGTTATTTTTATAGCGATAATAAATCAAAGTATTAATAGGAATTGCGGATAATTCCGAGTGCCTGATATCGGCACTCGCGCAATCGATCAATGTGCCGCACGAGCAATGGCACACACCGATAGCCCACCAAGTTTAAGCGGCCCATCCTTTTCTGCGAGTAGGTCGGAAGGTTGCCCCATTAATTCTTCCCGCAAACGTCGCGCATTAATTTAGAAGAGCGTCGCTACACATATGTTTGATGAAAAAAAAACGGTTACGCACGCACATGAGGCATTTATCTTCGAAATGGCGTAGGTCACGTTGCAAACATCATCAGCCTAAGTCTAAACACGCACTTGAGTCTCGATAACGATAATGCGCACTTACAAATGTTTTGTCGTTTCCGTGACGAAGAGAAAGGCTAGTCGAGCCAAGTTAAATAAACGTGTTAAATAATTGCAAATACTCCTATAGTGGATAAATAACATCTGAGAGTGATTTTCACACATATCGCTAAAAATACGCGGCCTCGGGTCTCCAGATTTTTTAGAACGAGCGAATGCGAGACGCTCGTTCCTTGCACGAAACCATCTGCCCGTTAAAAAGGAAAGAACAAAAGGCGAGAATCAATAATTTAGATCGGAACGACTGCGCAGCTCAGGTCAGCGACATATAATCTTCGAATAATTCAAATCGCGATAGTCCGTTAGTTACATGCAGATAAAATGTGTTTTCGATAGCGCAGATATAAAATTACGCAGGCGGTATTGTTACGCAAATTACACAGTTACGGCACAAAAATATCTGTCGTTAACACAAAGAGACCGATTGCTGCCGCATTTTACAAAAATTCTGAAAAAAGCAACATACTACGTTGATCCCAAATTTCTCTGAATATCGAATTGAATGAGAAAAATATTAAAATATAAAATTCCATATTAGAGCGAGAAGAAAATGTTGGTACAAGAGATTTCTCAAAATGTTTGGTTTCTAGCAATAGATCTCGCAATTTTGCGGAGACTGAAATCGAAACCGCAAGATTACAATCCTTTTTGTAGAACATATAACGTTATATCGCATATTGCAGGGTGCAACGTGGTCTCACCCCCGTGGTTGACTTGCGTAAGGACGATCGATGCTTCCAATAACGCGTACTGTCACGTATTCCTCGCCACACAAATAGTTTTATCGGATTATTGACCTTCATTATATGCGGCGGAGAAGACGAATCTATTAACGGGACGAACAGCTTCGATTATTCGCGAGACGCGCCTGGCATGAGAGATAACCAGATAACTCCCGGTGCAATGGCAAACAGAGAAATCGTCATTGCCGCGTTAGTTTATTAACAAATGGCTGCTCCTGATTCGCGCAACAAGCGGCATTATACGGCCGTAAACGTGCCACGCAACGCCGCCGCGATGTTCGTTCTCATTAATTCGGCCGCGAAATTGTTTTCCTCTCGCAGGCGCTACCGTTGCGCGCAATTATAAACGAGCTGCCACTCGGGTCGCAAAGCGATGTCGTATATCTGCCGCAGTCCCCGCCATCAAGTCGATTGTTTGCAAATAAACGTCGCGTTACATAACTGCTTGTTACGGAATACGTAAGAATCGCGTTGCGAAGGTGCGTTTCTGTTCCAACGGCAAACATTTTAAAATTCATCGAATAACAGAAATACAAAATATACATTTGTACATGATTTTGAAACGCACTCTTGCCACGTTTTGTATGTTCCAGAATCGATGGCAGATTAAATTCGTCCTTGTTAGCGAGAACATTGAAGCGCTGATCCGCGAGAAGCCTTTCTAAACCCCGATTTCGGATTCGGATTAAACCCCAAACCTCCGCTTTAAGCTTGGCAACAGCGTTCAACGATGTTTCGACTCTAAATACCCTGTATGTCGTAATGCATCGCAAAAGCGAGGAACAAAGTTAGGTCACGGATCGATGTTGCACGGTGGGAGACCCCCAAGGGAGACACCCGCCTCCATCCCTCGTTCAAATGCGCCACGATACGCTTTTCAGGCAGAAATCAACGAAATGGCAGCGAGCGCACAAGGACCCGCATGCGATATTTTTATAAATAACTTCTTCGACGACGCAGAGTCGATGCTGCTTTTCCGAGGCACAGGTTTTACGAGGTAAAAATCGTGAAGCGAACAAGCGGATTCCACGGGGAAAGCGTGACAACGTAGTTCGAAGTAAAAGTGAAAACATATTCGTTTCTCGCTTGCGTCACTGCGATTATATTTCAGGCAGTTGGACTACGTCACGACGTTCACAGTCCGATAACGCAAATTGCAACGATGAGACTTGATACCTTTGTTCCCGGTCAGAATAGACAGTTCCTATCGACGTGTGCTAGTGATATCCGCGCAATATCTACTTACACGTTCGTGTAAAGTGCATAGGAAATCTCAAATTAGACCCTAGATAGCAATTTGCGGACTGTGATGTATGCCGCATCATTATTTCTAACAATACTACGATTTTTTAGATTAATTTTTAATGAGTAATGAGTATTATTAGAAATTCAGCATTTAAATTTGTTTTGAACACTAATGTCCATTTCCAATGTAGATTAACTTTAATCTCGGTTTAACCTACTTTTTAATTTTTTATCCTTTTTTAGTTTTAAGAATTAGAAAAAAATGAAAAGTTAAATTAAGATTAAAGTTTATTTACATTGATAGAAATGGACATGAGTGATTTTCTAGTTTTTTATTCAAAAATATGTAATTGATATTTTGTGAGACCTCGGCTGAATTTTAACTACTGTGGGTCTTCCAAAATAAATTCTTAAAGAATCGGCGCTCTCTCGAGAGAGAGAGATTCACACGACGGGTAGACGTCGAGGCACCGTGGCGAAATAGATTTGATTAAACGCGAGCAAGAGCGTGGGAGCATCCTCTTAGTCCGGATGCTCGTGAAATTCTACCGTCTGCACGACCGGTTCCATTAACGAGAATCAAAGTTTAAGGTCCCGTAGAGCAGACTCGAGGCCGACCGGCATTGTCCGTTAGCATAGCGGTTGCCGAAAAAGTTTCTTCATCTCTCTGCATTTATCTTCGTCAGAGCGACTCGTGATAAGGCGTATTGTGAAAACAGATTGAATATTCGTAAAATATTCAATTCGTTAAGTACAGTTGCACTACATGTGGTGACTATTTATAATCTTACAAGAAAGTGTGGAATATTTCTCTTGAACCTATACATTCTGAGCTTTCTCCATTATAGAAGAGCTCTAGAAGTTCCATTACGGTATTCTATTTACGATTCTACGTTGCTACCTGGTAGTTACTATTCACGATCCACCTGGGAGTAAATTCTTTCCTTCGCGATTCTATGTTTATTCCTAAAAAGATTTTTTTTTAATTCTATAGTCTTATTCGAAAATTTCTATTTATAATCCCAGAAGGAACGAGATTTTTGCGTTTTTAATCGTACAATAAATTCTAGATCCAAAATCAAGATTTTTAGATTTGTTTAACTTTGACAATGTCAGCTAACGTGGGCTAATAAGTTTTATAGCCTTCTTCCTGGTTGTTGGAAATAGAGCTCAAAGCAGACGAAACCTCGCTAATAAAAGTGAGCTAATCAAGGCTAAAACGCAATTGTTCCGCGGTCGCGCAAACGTGTCTGCGTTTTAGCAAACGGTGATAGCTAATAATTTGGCACTGAACTTGAAACTATTTTGGACCGTTAATCGCGATATCGCGATAGACTTGGGGGGCCTCTAGCCAAGGTGTTTAGATGATAGAACGGGCGCATCTTCGAGGATACAATCGACGAACCCGACGACGCTGAAATAGACTCGGTCATCGCGCCAATGACACGAGGACGCAAATTAAATGGGGCGAGTCTCGGTGGGCATTCGATGGATTCGGAGCACCGGGTAGAGCAGCTTGCGAGAAATCCCAAACTCTCACCGAGCATTCGACACAGCCGTTGCCGAGGGGGCTGCCTTCTACACAAAACCCCCTCTCTTGCTTCGTCCGTTCCTTTCGTCGAGCCGCTCTTTCAGCGATTCTCTCTTTCTCTCTCTCTCTCTCTCTCTCTCTCTATCTCTCTCTCTCACTCTGTCTCGCTCACGTTCTGCTCGCTGAGAGACGTGCTGGCGAGGTCTGCGTCGGCGCCGACCGACTGGGGAGTCGGCGGTGTTGCCGGTTCGCTCGTACCGGTGCTCGCCACGAGGAGAGACCCCGCTCCGGTAGAGCCGTGGCCGGAGCTCCGTTCCATAGTCGGTTTTTGCATCTGACGCGCGGCGGGCAGACGCGGCCGGCCGCTGGGAGCGCGATATGCACGAGCGTGTCATATGACACGCGTGACAAGTGGTGCGCGGCCGCGGCGTTGCTGGCACACACCAGACACGAAAACGGGAGACGGTTATCGCGCGCGGCGGTAGAATAAAGAGGAGAGACCGAAGACGAGAGACAAAGAAAGAGGAGTAACGGAGGAGAGATAGAGAACGAGAAAGGAAGAAGGTGGGATAGAGGGGAGGGGAAAAGAAACGCTCTTGCGTGCGTGCGTGCGTGAGATCATCGGTTTAACGTTCTCCGTAGACCTAGACTGGGTACTCCCCCACGCGTTCTCGAAGCTGCGACACGGTATACGATACGGTAACGGCGGGTGCAATTATGTTACCGGCGCGACGTGGCGACGGCATCGACGGACGACGACACGCCGCCCAGCATCATCACCCACGCACCGTCGGAAGACATCTCGACGTCGTCGCGGGGCCCCGCCGCACCGCCGGATCGCTCGCGAATAGTTAGACCTCGATGACTCCTCTCTTCACCTTTCCGCCCGTCCCTCGTTTCGTTCCTCGGAGCGAAAGATTCAGAGTTGCCTGCGGGGAACACGACCGTGATTCTCGGCAGGTAGGTAGTGGAGTGGAAGGAGCGGAGAGCTCGAGCTTTTAGGGCCGCGAGCACGTGGTCGTGTGATCGATACATTTAAACTATTACCGGTAGTGTGAAGAAGAAAGAGAGAGAGAGAGAGAGAGAGAGAAAGAGAGTGAGAAAGAGAGAGAGAAAGATAAAGTATTAGTCTATTTACGGGTAAATAAAATCTTTGTCCTTCAGTTGGTCGATAGCATAATAAGTCGACGCCGTCGGGCAGAGAGAAAAGCGCGGTTCGTAACGGAACTGTAGTTTGAGAAAGTCCCTCGCGAGGAGAGGCCCCCCCCGTAAGGACATGGGATATCGCTGTACCCGTGCAAATCGTCACATTGCAGGTTTTAGGAATGCGGGTGCGGGTGGCGAGGGGAGGTGATGGTCCGCGCTTGAGGTGGTCGTTCTTTCTGGTCGCAGTGGTGACGGTGGTGCGGATCGCGGGTGCGTCTACGGACACGCTACCGTTGTCCTGGTCGTCGCGAGTAGAATGTCCAGGCGGGTGCAAGTGCGCGGACACCGACAGCGGTGGCAGTCTGCAATGCGCGGAGCGGGACTCCTCCGACCTGGTCTTGCCGCGAGACGTCACGAGCGTGTCGCTGAGGGATGTCCGGGAGTTCGCGATCCGGGCGAGCGTCTTGGAGGGTGCCACCGGGCTGCGAAGTCTGGCCTGGTCGTCGAGCGGCGTCGAGAGAGTGGAAGCCGGCGCGTTCCGCGCCACCGTGCGCCTCGAGCGAATCGATCTAGGTGATAATCGGTTGGCCGACTTGCCGTCGGACGTCTTCCATCCATTGCATCAACTCCAGTACCTGAACCTCACCGGGAACCGGCTGGTCGCGCTGCCGCAGCAGCTGTTCCGCCATCTGAACCGCCTTTATGAGATCCGTCTGGCGGCGAATCTGCTCTCGGTGCTGCCCTATCAGGCGTTCGCGCCCGCCAAGGAGCTCGTGCGGCTCGATCTCAGTCGTAATCGGCTGGTCTCCCTGCCGGATCACAGCTTTCAGCCGAATCGGCAGCTGCAGGAGCTGCGACTGTCCGGCAACCGGCTGACGAAGCTGCCGTCGCGGCTGTTCTCCGGCTTGACGCAACTGAAAGTGCTCGATCTCGCCGACAACGCGATCGACGCGTTGCCGCGTGGCCTCTTCAGCGACCTCACGGCCTTGGAGTACCTCGATCTCGGGGGTAATCCGATCGTGCGTCTCGCGGACACCGCGTTTCAAGGCCTCGCCAGCTTGCGATGGCTCGATCTGAGTCGTTTGCCGATCTCGTCGCTGCCCGGTGACGTCTGGCGACCTGTCAGCAGGCTGAGGACCCTCCTGCTATCCGGGACCAAACTGGAGAACCTTCGGAACAAGAATCTGGCCGGTCTGGCCGAGTTGGAGACCCTGGAAATCACAAACGGCACGTTACGGGAGATCGGCCAATTGACTCTGAACGAGACCCCGTCCCTGCGTAGAATCGACCTGCGCGACAACGACTTGACTTTCCTGCCGGCGAACGTGGCGAATCTACCGTTCCTGGACGAGTTGCACTTGCAGGGCAACTCGTGGGCCTGCGACTGTCGTATGTTTTGGTTCGTCAAGTGGGCGGAGAGCAGGGCACATCTGCGTGCGGCTTTCCAGAGCGGGCTCAAGTGCGGCCACGAAAGGGGCACCGTGGACATCCTGCAGACGTTGCGCTACCTCGAATGCAGCCCGCCGATTCTCGTGCGGACTACCAAAACGCAGCAATATCTCCTTCTGAGTTCGGTGCTGTTGGAATGTGAGTTCAGCGGCAATCCCGCGCCCTCCTTGACCTGGGTGACCCCGAGCGGTCTGGTGCTCCATTGGGTGCCGGATCCAACCTTCCCCGACGCCTTCGTCGAACATCCGAAGGTGCACAGCTGGCTGACGGATCGGCCAGTCGTCAATGATAACCGCATTAGCGTCCTAGAGAACGGCTCTCTTTACATCGCGACGCTGTTGCGGCAAGATGTGGGCAAGTACAAGTGCACGGCGGTCAACCCGATTGCCAATGAGACCGTCTACATAACGCTGGAAATGGATCCGGTTACCTTGCACAATATCAAGATCTTTAGCATCCTCGTCGGCGCGATTTGCGCCGTGACGTTTCTTCTGATGACGTTAGCGTTGCAGCTGCTGCGATACATCTTCGTGAAGTGAGTATCCATACAGCAACACGTAGAATTAACATTAAGGATATCTGCTGTAATCTTCTTGTATGCCGTATATACACCTTGAGGATTGTGTCAAAATATCATACGTATACGTCCATATTGTTGGTCAATAGAGCCATTAACAGTTCGAGTGACAGTAACCGTCGAGAGCGTCAACTTTGATGAGTAGAGCGAGCAAGTCGGCGGAAGGTCAGGAGGACGCGATCGATAACTCCACCTGACGATTCCGACGACTTTCTGTATTCTTTTCGCAACCCCCTCGTTAACGTTTTTCCCCCACACGAATCTCCCGCAGGTGCGGATGCATCAAGTGGTGCCTGTGCTGCAGACGCGTGGGCGTGACGCCACGGGCTAAGCAGATCTACCAGATGCTCGACAACATCGAGCAGTACAAGAGTCAGCAGCTCGAAAGACTGAGGGAGAACTACACGCAGCAGGTACACAGAATTAAGGACAATTGCGTTCAGCAAGTGGAATGGATCCGCGACAGTTACGAGGGTCAAATGCAGCATATACGAGACATACGGGACTACGGTACCACTCACCTGACCGCGCTGAGAGATCAGTACTACGATCAGGTACGATACGCCGCGTCGTGAGAATTCTACGCCGCGAAACTGTGTTCGTCATAATTGATTCAATTTCTGTTTGTCATCGTATTCGCTTTTTATCTGATCTACGTCATCTGTTTACAACGCGCGAAGTTGTTACGTGCGAAATAATAAAAAGTTTATTAGACACATCACTGCGCACAAGTCGCTTTTCTACATTGGCAAAACGATTTTCCGTCGAGAGAAAACAAACATAACGAGGCCAAACAAATAACGAGATAACGCGAGATATCGTCGCGTATACAATAGATACGCATCTAGCCGCGTCTATTTTGTTACTCTTTCGCAGGTGAAAAGAGTGCGGGACTATTCCACCAGCCAGCTGAACTGGGTGCGCGAGAATTACGTCTTCCAACGGAACAAGATCCGCAAGTTCAGCGCCCATCAGGTGTTGCGGTTACGCGAGAGTTACAAGTACCAGCAACAGACACTGTCCAAGGTGCTGGAGAACCTGCCCAATCTGTACTTCGATAATTGCCGGAGCGGCTCGTGTGGCAAGAGCGACTCCATGGTATTCGATCCTACCAAGGACGACTTCGAGAATATGAACACCTATTTCAAGGCAAAGATCGACGATCTGGTGGCGGGAGCGAGTCTGGAGGACGTCAACAGCGAGTATTACACGCCGACCGAGCTATCGTCGACCAGCCCGCAAGGCCAGAACCCGTTGGAAGGTATTCATATCAATTACATCGAGGAAAGCGGCCCACCGCCGCCTCTGGGACCGCCTACAGTGTTCCCTGCTTCGGTGATACTGCAATGTATCGACGAATACGCCAGCACAGTGTCCACATACAAGAACAACGAGCATGACAAGCCGATCTTCAAAGGCTCCAACGGTACAGTCTTGGCTAAGGAGCCCCGGAGAAAGACACCGGAAGTCTTGGGGCTTTTAGCACCTAGCAACAGTCTACCTGATCTTCCACGCGAGACTAAACTCTAGCCGACAGAAATTAAAGCGCGTTAAAGTGGCCAAGAATGGGTTCCTACTATCATTTAAGTTATCAGAAACATAAGGGGGAAGAGATTGTTCTCGGACAATCAACGGCAGTGGAGCGTAATGGAAGGATCATCGCCATCCTGCGTCTGATAAGTAGGAATCGCGTCTTCGATATCGAGGATATCGCTTGAAGCTTCTTCCGCTTTTCATTATACGACTGATTCGAGGAGAGTGCCCTAGAAAAGACAGTTCGAGAAGAACTCGTGTCAAGTGCCAAGAAACAGGAGATCCTTCCTCTGTCGAGATTGCAAGGACAAGTGTGTGCGTGTGCTAATCTAGGAGAACAAAAACAAATTAACGGACAGTTTCCAAGGATTCTCTTGATATGGTCGACCTTGCAACCTGTCCGTCTCTCGTTAAGCAACGTGTGCTTTTTCATCAGTGTCATCGTTTTTGGGTGACTACCATCATCCGAGAGGATAAAGAGAAAGACGCGAATTGCATTTCGCGTCCTCGTCGACTCGGCTGTAAATTTAATTTCCTTTTAAAAGCGCGACGAGGAAGAAATGTAACTTCGCCTAGTTGTCAATTCCATGAGTCTTGAGGTTGCGATTTCCGTAAGGAATCATTCTCAATCCTTCCTGTAAATAGGCGTGAAACTTTTATGTATCAGTGATACCGCGAGAAAAAGTCGGATTATCCTCTCATTGCGAAAGACTGAGGCGGCGAGATCGACACGCCAGCAATCGTCCGTTTGTTTTTCGTCTTCTTCGTCTCGATTTTCTCGTGAACAAAAACCGGCGAAAAACCTCGGCGTTCGATCGTGCTCGCGTCCTTTCTTTTCTTCCTTTTTTTTTTAACCGCTTGTGTTTAGCGCAGTAGGTTACATATTGTTCGAGACATAGAAGTATATGCCTATCGAAGAAAGAAAAAAAGGAAACATACCAGAAAATAACCAACGTACGTACTTAATTTTTTAATCATTACAGCAATATATCTCCAACCAGTCGGGCTTATCATTCGCGCGGAAAATAATTAAAGGGAGAAGAAATTGTAATAAAGAAAAATTATATTGGCTGTTAGATCTTTCGACCTAAGGCAGCGTTTCAGAGAAAGAAAATTGTATGTACGGATTTAGTTGCTCTTATACAAATTTTACAAGATGCGCCCCTTTGTTGAATAAATCCTGACGAATCGTCGCCAAGCATCTGTCTTAATCCCTTATCCAAATTCCATCTCGTGATCAAACTTTGCAGAAGAATATATTGAAAACTTAATTTATTCTTTTTTTTTTTTAGACATACGTACTAAATAGAAAATCAAGAACTATCAACCGTGCTAATTAGCTCATTGCTAATTAGTGAAGTTGCTAACTGTAAAAAATTCAATTAACGCGGACTTTAATCATCGAGAGAACATCTTCGCAATATATTTATCATTTAGTAATCGAGTTTGAAAGATGAGAGCGACGATTGAAAGAGAATAAGAACAGTTAGAATAATCCATAATTTGTCCGATTTAAATCTTTAATGGATTGTATAAAAAACTTAACAAAAATTTCAGCTCCAAATTCTGTAGCCAACTTTCTATAGAATTGAAAATTTAATAGTAAATCTTCGAATAAAATAATAATTTCAAAATAAGTAAAAATGTACTAATTATTTTTAGTGTAAGAAAAGTTTTATTTTATATATTTTTTTAACGAATTTGTCCTAGAAAGAATTAATATCAAACTAATTTCTTATGTAGAACTTGACTTCTTTTATTTCATATTCTCATCAAATCTAGATTTTATTAGATTTAAATTCACAGCGCAATTACAGGGCAAAATAATTCTGTTCATGAAAAGTGGCTTTATATATAAGTGATTAATTTAGAAATATTTCATGAAAATAATTTCTTAGAATTTTATGATATAAAAGAAGTTACATTAAAAACAATAATTATAGTTAACAAATTAGACGTTTGTTTTAAAATGATATATACGAATATACCTCATGATAATATTCGTTTTTCTAACGGATGTAAAAGGTAATTTATAGTTGAAATCTTGAGATCTTTAAATTGAGATATTTATGGACTTGGTTTACTTTGGAATTCATAAATCGTCTCGATCGAATCGTCAAGAATGCAATACTTTCGAGTTGGAAAAATCACGTGATAAAAAGACACGCGCGTATCGATTATCTAAATATTCTAAACAACTGCTGCCGATGCAGAAATGACTGAATCACCACGATACCAATGGAACAAAACAGAATAAGGAAATAATCGCGGCCAGGAGAGCGTTGTCGTTATTTTTGGATCGCGTCAGCGAGAGAGATAAAATTTTATCATGCTTCCTCCGTTAGACGGAGGGGGAAGCCGCGCACGGGATACGCAAGACGAAGCAGAACCATGGTGGAAAGCATGTAGTCGGTCTCGGTATCGTGGTGAGATCGTAAGGGGAATCCTATTCTATGTCGAGAGAAACCTGTCCGGGCTAAATCCGAAGAAGTGGGAATCGATAAGTTGTCATAAACTCGAATTTGATGAAGCTGGAGTCAACGTTTCCTCAGTGAAAAGTTGAAGCATAATTATGAAGTCTCCAAATTTGTTTTTCAATGTAATTAATTGGCGTAGTCCATCATAAAGCATTATTTTCCACGTTATTCATGTCTCGCAAATTGGTAGACTCTACGAATCAATCAGAAAACTTTTTAATAAATATATACATATGTAAGTAATAAAAAAATATTTGCTATTGTCAGAATTCAAACTTGCGTCATGTAATTTTACATAGTAATATATTTTTAAATAAATTAATTGGTAAAAATAGATGATTTTCAATATAAATAATCGTTTAATGGTATTTCAAATCTTAATTTAACATAAATCAATTAAAAACTTATATTAAAATTGATAACTCGTCATATCAGAACCATCAGTTTTGTGAATGTCGAGTTCTGCTTGCTATGTGAATATGTTGCAATTATAACATTTATAACGCAAATCTATAATTACCGTGGTGTTTCTCACGGCTTTCACAGCAATGCAAACATATAAAAATATTACGCAAACAGCTTCTGGCTTCTGACTGAAACACGTAAAAATATGTAAGAACACGTATGAACATGATAAGAATTTGAAATGCGAAGTCGTAAGAGCAAACTAGACGTTGCTAAAGTGTCGAATTTTATTATACGTTGCTAAATAAAAAAAAATATTATTTCAGTCAGATGTAAAACAATTTCTATTTATAATATATATTTAAATCAGAAATGCAAAATGTAATGTCTATTTCAACAGAAATTGAATCCTCATTCCACAAAAAGTTCTTTATTTCAAAAATATCAAAATTGAATCTTTACTTATATAATATCTTTCATATATAAAAATTATTAATTAAATAACAGTTTCTTAAGAATATTCATTTTAAAAGAATTAATTAAATTTCACATTAGAAACCTAATCATTACACATAAACATTAGATACATATAACCGCTGAGATTATTTTGAAATATTTCAGAGTTTAATAGACAATAGAGAAGTTCATTCAAGCTTTTACTAAGAAAACATCTCCAAGAATTCATCAAAAAATTTTTTCGACTGCTGATTCCCTACTTTTTAGATACACCTGACATTTCGCCATAGACTAATCGGGATGGTAGCACTATACAAGTAGCATAATCGATCAACCTAATTGTAGCCGGTCTCATAAATCTCGTCGATACTCGCGTGCGCTAGTTCAGATAAAGGTTGTTTTCGCTCTAATTTACGTAGAATTATTGGTAGTAACAAAATTATACACTTTGTAATTATAAATACGATTCGCAACTTTATTAAGAATTTAGACAAATTGATATTTAATATTATTTTTCATTTGCTAACAAGCTTTATTTGGAAATCAGATTCACCAAAGCAGTACAAGGCAGTACTTGTGTATACCAGTTTTGGTGTATCACAAATGATATAAAATAGATCAGGCGGCAAACCAAAAATCTTAGAAGATATCATTTGTAATTCACCGAAAGTGGCACAATTGAGTAAGTAATGGTAGTCTCTGATAACGCTGTCCCAAATAATTCTGTCGGTATCTTTGTCGAGGTTTTTGGTAAAGTCGTAAGTCAATTTACAATTACTCTCTATTTAAAATCCTCTTATCCCTCCCATTCCTCCCTCCTACATATATATTATCTCGATAGTCCTATCATTCTGTTACCGAACTATCTAATTAGTTCGATGAAAAAAAAAAACGAAAAAGACCTTCGATGTAATATCTCTAGAAGAGCAAATAAAAGTCGAGCTTTATAGGCATCGATATAAAAGTCCACGTCAATATAATTGGCTTCTCTAATGCTTGTCAAATCTATCGATCCGCTGTGAATCCATCTTGGTGATTAATTAATTTAAAAAAAAACATCAAAAAAATATCCGTTTCGCAACGAGGGCACCCATTATAATTCCGATTAAAAATAAAACAATTTATTAACACATTTATGTCACCGGTGGCTTAACTTTTATTGGCTCTTCTATTACAGAGCAATTCGATTGCTCTTTTGCGTTCAATACCATCGAAGGAACCACTATATTGCGCGCAAATGTAGTCAACCTCGAAAGTATTTGAAATTAATGTTCAATGAATAATCGTCACTTTGATATAAGTTTGATGATTATTATTTGAAATCAGTTTTTAATCTTTTCATATCCATGAACGCTCGACTACGGATAGATCAATATTGTTTCGTAGTCCCTTCATGTTACGTTATTCTCCGATTTAACATTATTATATAAATACTTGGAAGAATGTAAGAGGAAATAAAATCCGACCGGTGCGTTCACCCGGCGTACTTCTAACGTTGATTAAACGAGTATTATCTATTACGCCGTTCCAGAACGTTCCTGGGAGCGACAAAATGATGGAAACTGAAAATCTATTACGCTTAGAAAATAGTTTAAACTTTAACTAGAGCTACTTTTCGTCGCGGCACATCGAATCTTAGACGAGAAAGTCTTTTCTCTGTTCCTTGGTATGTCGAATGCTCGTACTTATGCTTCCAGCATGTATATTTTTTATACGACGTCATTTTTAAACCGCGAAGCCTTAACAAAGAGGGGTAACGCATGTGCAGGGCGTGTAAATAAAAAATAAATGATGCAAGAAAAACCGCTGTCGGTGACACTGATTGAGGGCGTGTAAAAATTAAAGTAATTAAATCGCGCGTATTAGATGCTTCCCAGAAATGACTTCTCGTTCCAGTATGTTATATCGACAGCGGCATAATTATTATTAAATGCAAGTAAGCGGTGAGATTAATAGTTCTCGGAAAGAATTAAGACGTTTTTGCTTTAATAAAATTAAAATCTAAATCTTTTCGTTAATTGAATATTTCGTCGATCAAATATCTCCACATAAAATGCATAAATTTTTGCATTACTTTCTCTTAATTTTACAAATATAAAGCGATGGAAGAGAAGGCTTTATCGTTATTTTTCTTAAAAACCGGGAACGTGTTAGTGTATTAAAAATTAATTATGCCACTGTAAATCAAATATTTTATCATAGATAATAAATAATAGACTAGATAATAAATATTAGAATTTATTCCATCTATGACTTCGCGAGCAACATTCTCTCTCATCGGAATTAAATAATGTAAAAAAATAATTTTGTAGCGAAAATTTATATATTGTATTGTAGAATTATATAGAAATGTGTATCTTTAGTGACGTGACACACAGTGAGAGGAACTTTATTTTCTTAATATGCAAGAGATGTCCTGAGTCTATCGACCGTTCGTTTGGACATCCGGTGTAACATTATCTAACGAGTCTTTTAAACGCTGTGATTTATGAACTTTCTAAGGATATATATCGCAATGTAAATTGATGTAGAACAGAGTTTGCAATAATATTATCCAGTACGTTTATTGGATGTACAATAATAAATTGCACAAGTCGCGCTCAACAGAGAAGTTTCTTTTCTTTGGAGCGGACTACGAAAGTAATAATCACTCCGAGTTCGTAATTATACTAGTTTGTATAGATTTTAATTATTCGCAACAATACTGAAAATAAATTATGTATAATCAAAGTAAAAAAAAACTTTAGCAAGTGTTCCACGAAGTGATGTTTGCCAGTCACTTGAATTTATTAAAAAAATATCGACTATTGTACCACACGTAGCTATTTGCGTTACAATTCAACTTTGGAAACCGGGTACCAAAGAAGGAAAGTCTGACGCGCAAACTCTTTTTTACGCTGAAGCGCAGTTTTCATATTATCGAGGCTGTCATTGATTTTGACGATCGTTAAAATGACCAAAGCAATTCTTACGGTGATCTCCGCAGAAACTTATCTGACACCGTTCATATAACTTGCCAAGAGTAACCTTTTAAAATTTAACACTTAAAGGTATCTTGTCGAGTTTCCCGTTGGTGATCTCTTATCCTTCTGTCCGAGATACTCTAACGGATGTATTAAAAAAAAAAAAGCTATTTTGGCAAATAACTGCGACGATATAAACTGTCATTTCCTACGTCGTAAACTTGCGGGTTGCAGATCAAGCAACACAAAAAAAAAACGATCTATATGTGCTATTCGAGCAATCATGTTGGAAAGTTAAGAGATACCGTACGGTTAAATCGCTTTAATGTTCCGACCGAGCGATGTAAAAGATCTAAAGTCATTTGTAATGAAGCGACTTGTTCGCCTTTGTAAAAATAATCCTAAGTTATTTCTCCCGACTAACAAAAAATGATGACGTCGGCGAATCTGCTCAACTTCTACCATTGTTCTCAAAGTTAATAAATCTCATTGTTTATTGTGGTACTCTTGGTTTCCTTCAACAACCCTCTTTCGCACATAACGACTTGTAGCACGTAATTATTTATCAAAATTTAACATACCACATTTAAAAACAAAATTGCTGAGGCAAACATAATTAATTACAACAAAATATAACTCCGTAATCAATAAAAAATTGTTATCCAACGCGTATTAATCCATACTATCGTTGCATTAATTCTTTTTTAATGGTAAATATACAAGTACTTCAAGATTTTCATTGTTTAATTAATAATAAAATTTTTATCATAATTTAATTATAATACACTGTATTCGCCATCGGCAGAAATCTTTCGCGATCTGTAGAAAAAAAAAGAAAAGAAATATCGGTACATACCTTTTCCTGCGTTCGATTCCACACGATCACACTATGACCACTGTTGATCAAGTTTTTCACGATACCACTGCCCATAATGCCGAGTCCAAGAAAACCAAATTTCAGATTTGACGGAAGGATATTCTTCTCCTTGAGAGTTTGCGACATCGTTTCGACGTCTAAGGGCGGCGTAATCTGCGGAACAAAGTAAAGGAATGTTACGGGAAAGGAATAATACGCAGCTAATTCTGATACTTTCTTTGTAAAGAGGAATAACTTTACAAATTCTACATTTTTCCTGAAATGTATCTTTTTTCGATAACAAATGTTCTTTCTATAATAGACGATTTAATTAATCCAATTCTTCAATTTGTCGATAGATTGTAGGTAAGTTGAACTAAAACTATAATGATTAGTGTAATCTATCAGAGATAAAAAATAAATTTAATTCCTTAATTTTCTAACAAACTAACTTAAAAAAATTAATATAATTGTTTTTATTAATTTCTAGCAAAAAAATTAGTAACAAAATCTTATTGTAATTTTAGTTGCATTTTAAATTCAGTTTAATAGAATTTATTTTAATAGAATTTTTATTAGATTCTTTAATGTTATTATATAGAATATTTGCACTAAAAATAAAAAATTATTAAAAATTTCGATGAATAAATATATCTACGTTTTAAAG